AAGTGAATAGCCCAAGTGTCGCAATGCCCAATAATTAGAAACTAAGGATAGTCATTGCCATAGACACGGATCGACCCAAGGCCCCAAGTCCCAACCACTAGGCCACTGGCAGAGGTCCATGAAAACACAATTGAAGAGTTGAAAGACTAATATTTGCAAATGGTTTAAATTTATTTGTGTGTGTATATATAAAGGAAAGTGTCAAAAGGTGGACTGATTTTAACAGTTCTAGGGTCTAACATGCCATAAAGATCCAAAAAAAAAAGGCAGTTTCAAAAAAGAGCTTGTACATGCTTCTGAACTTCCTCAAAGCTTCACCACCGCATAAATTAGAAGGAAGAATACTCATTTCCCTCCAAAAGTTATAACTAATGGCTGGTTGTTTAACCATCTCATAAAAGTTTTCCTTCATTGTCATGGGAATTCTATTATCACACTTTGTATCCAAAGACGGCCATATGTGGAGACAACTTTATCATCCAAAATAAAGACTAGACAACAGCTCCATTATGTGTAGCTGTCTGTGTGTTTTATATGTGCTTGGATAAAATCCGCATAGACAGCCAAAAATGGGTTATCAGTTGGGATTTAGTCATGTTGGAACTGATCAAATATTTTATCCCTCTCTGTTTGACATCATCTTCTAATTCCGTAAACCAACCCCCTCTATTTGTAGCAGAAGAAAATGGCTAATATCCTCACTTCCAAAGCTGCCGACAACTTTACTAACCACCATTAGGGTAATTCCTCTCCCTTTTTCTGATGTTTCTTTGTTGCATTTCTCGTAGTTTCCATGCTTCCGTCTTCTTCTTCTCACTACTACTATTATTAGTACTAGTATTTCTATTGGGTTTGTTCAAATGACCTCTCTTATGATTTCCTCCACAAACATCACATCTAATTCTGGAAAAGGAAAGATAGCATATCAGCTATGAGGTTAGCCAATAATATAACATTGCTATCACATAATACTCCACAAGCAATTCCAATGCTTTTACTGTTCCACTTTGGTTTACATTGGTTAAATTTATAGATATGATGAATAATTGAGTTTAAGTAGCAAAAATAGTCACTTAAGGCATTCTAT